AAAGCAAGAAGGGACCTACTCCGGTTACCAAGTCATCCAGAGGAAGTACACCCAATTTGGCACAAACTGAACCTCCTAGTCTGTCTCTTATCAGGGAATTGCAAGCAAGTCTAGGTAAATACAATTTACTTCTAAGTAGTACCACACATATTTAGAGCGTTGGAGACAGTACTGTGATGACAAAGATATTGATTTATTTCAACCCAGAGTACACAATGGTGTCGAATTTCTTGTCTCCTTATACAAGGCTAGTCTTGGTTACAATGCTGTAAACACAGCCCGTTCTGCCCTTTCTTCCCTCCTTATTTTGGAAAACAATAAAAAGTTTGGAGATCAACCTTTGATTGTTCGTTGCATGAAGGCCATTTTCGAATTAAAGCCATCCCTGCCAAAATACAACGGGATATGGGATGTTCGCGTTGTGTTGGATTATTTGAAGACCTTTGGTGCTTCAAGTGCTTTACCGCTTAAGGAACTCACGCTCAAGTTAACCATGTTGCTGTGTCTTACCACTAACCAGCGTGGACAAACTATTCATAAGTTTGACATTAACTACATTCAGGACTTGAATGATCGGTATAGAATTTCTGTCTATGAGAAGCTAAAGCAGACTAAACCAGACAGACATTTAGAACCTATAGAACTATTGGCTTTTCCAGAGGACAAGGAACTCTGTGTGGTGCAACATTTGAGGGAATATATCAATCGAACTGACCCCTTGCGTAAAGATCATTCTCAGTTATTATTAAGTTATGTTAAGCCCCTTAGGCCAGTAGCTAGGGACACTGTTTCCAGATGGGTTAAGCAAGTTTTGCAATCTGCAGGGATTGACATAACTAAGTACTCTGCTCATAGCTGCGGGGCTGCTTCTACTTCCAATGTTAAGGTTAAGGGTTTGAACTTTGCCGAAATTATGAAGAGCGCAGGTTGGCCAACTGTGAGTACATTTACGAGGTTCTATGATAAGCCAGTGTCCAATACTTCAGCTAACTTTGGCTCTGTAGTGTTGAATCCAAGTGCCAAGTGATTCTGCTAGTTTGTATCTTGTGTTCTGGTTTCGTTTTTGTTTGGGATTTTATTTCCCTTAATAAAATACTGTTTTACTTGCATTACTGGTTCGCGTTACAGGACTTTGAAATCTCATGTGACTTCGTAGTGACGTAGACTGATGACAAGTTAGAATTACATGATTAAACGAGACTTACCTGTAAGTTGAAGTTTGATCGAAATTCTATCTTGTCATCAGTCCGGAACGAAGGAGTCACATGCCCTTAATCCCTCCCTCCCTTCCTTCTTTCGTTTCTTTTTCCCGTACCACTCATTATAAGACTGACTAGCAATGCGCATGCGCATCTCATGTGACCCCTTCGTTCCGGACTGATGACAAGATAGAATCTCGAGCAAACTTCAACTTACAGGTAAGTCTCGTTTAATCATGTAATTTACATGTTTCAGGTATTTTTGGAGACCCCCGAAGCGCGGTCTCGCTTGTTCTGTCAACGATTCTATTGTTTTGTATTGCGCAACCGGTCATTTCAGATGACCGGAGAAGCCGTATCTAAGGGCTTTCGACTTGCGGCTTTCGGTTCGGCGGGTGAAATTCACGTACTCAACAGTAATACGAAAAAAGCAATTATTATTTAATGTTAAAATTTCAAATGATGTCAAGGAATCATCCACAAGGCGGCTTAACTAGAGACCTCGCGAACTTACTATAGGTACCAAGGAAACATTAATGAAAACGTCCGCTACAAAAATCTAAATTTAAATTTCTAAAACTGCTTCGAAATCGAATTGACCAGTTCAATTTGGGTACTAATATTTTCCATTGGAAATGAACTACTGCAAATCAAGTGCGTGACGGTTAAAACTACCCGTGACACATACGTGACGAGTGGATGATCGTTCATTTACTTAACAATATCTCAAGTACGTACCGTATATACTCAACATTTTACACAAAAGTTCTAAACAACCTTAACAAACTATCAATTAAGTGTCATTGTCAGAGAAAACCGGGCAGGAGCAAAAGATCGAGGTCGGCGTTTGCCCTCCACCTTTTTACCATAGGAAAGCCACCTGAAAAGATTATCAACGGTGGTATTTTCAGAAGTTGATGGGTTTTTTTATTTGAAGATAAAAATTTTCTTGAAATCAGGGTCTTTCATGGGCATGAAATATCTTGATTTTCTGCCAACTTTTGTTGAACCTATATGAAATAACACGAAGCGAAAAAAAAATTACCTTTCTTTTTTTGACATCTTTAACCTTTAATAAACCGATTAAAATATAATTTTCAATATCTGTCCCAGTTCCATGTCTTTCATGTCGCACTTGTTATTACCGCCAAGTCGTTAATGAGCCAGACCCAGATTTCTGCCATTTTCACACTGTTATTTTCTCAAAAGTTCGCGGTTTATTTTTAAAGGAAGTTACTTTTCTTGATAGCCTATTAAAGCTTTGCTAAAATGTAGCAAACTTAAAAATGGTATCTTTCAGT